CCCCGGGGTCGCTGTTTCGAGATTACGATGGTATGCTATTAAAAACTGGGGAAAATGAAAAATCCTGAATGTGTCATTTTGAGATTGTTTTGAGTTCCCAGAGCTCACTAAAACATGCGGGATTTGGAGATAGATGTCTCTGCTAAGTCTTGTCCCAGCATTTTTGTCTTATAAAAGCCAGGCCTCCAGATACAACAGATAGATGAAAAACATAAAAAGCACAGGAAACAACATAATCGCTTTCCACAGGGCTGTGAAAGAGGCTCAACATCATGTATATGTATATATATATATATATATATATATATATATATATACACACATATATACTGTATATATGTATATATATATACTGTATATATATACATATATACAGTATATGTAAACCTCACATTATTACTCAAGCAAAGAAAAACTTTGCATGAAAAAAAAAAAACTAATAAAAACTAACCTGCTCTGAAATGTTTATATATATATATATATGTGCAATAATAATATTTGATGAGCAACTCTATCTGGCTGATAAGTTCTTTATTTCCATGAAACAGGCATCCAATTTTCTTCCTTCTGAGGTATAGCTACAGCAAAAGGTAACACAAAAAAATCATGAATTTTGATAACAATGATAATATTTGTGAGACAGGGTTCTATAAGTGTTTCATTTTGATGTTGACTTGAGCAAGTTACAGTCACTGCTCTGAGTGTGCAACACCACGACATAGTGTTCAAAACATGTACTGCATAATACAGTATTTAGTTTACTGTCGCTTAGAAATTACCCAAAGTACAGTAACCCTGCCATCCTTCATGGGTTCCGGATTTGCAGTCACACAATTTTGCAGATGTTTAATTTCGTCTAGTTAATAATTATATTTTGGTCTAACGCACAACTATTTTCGGTGTAATTCCACTTTGAATATACAGTATTTTGGAAATATGAGAAAAGTGAAGATCAGTGAATATTTTCCAGGGGCACTAAAAGTGTTCACAGTGCTTCACTTTTTATTTTTATATTGTTAACAAATTAGCAAACTTTTTGAAAAAGCTTTTTTCAATGTTTATCACTTTTCTTGTTTTTTTATTGGAAATAAAATAGTAAAAATGTTGACATTTAATTTTTCTAATTGGTTTTATGTCGTGTTATGTGTACAATTTTTAGAAACAAAAATCTGTACCGGTAAAATATATATATTTTTTATATATTTTTATATATATATATATATATATATATTTGCAATAATAATATTTGATGAGCAACTCTATCTGGCTGATAAGTTCTTTATTTCCATGAAACAGGCATCCAATTTTCTTCCTTCTGAGGTATAGCTACAGCAAAAGGTAACACAAAAAAATCATGAATTTTGATAACAATGATAATATTTGTGAGACAGGGTTCTATAAGTGTTTCATTTTGATGTTGACTTGAGCAAGTTACAGTCACTGCTCTGAGTGTGCAACACCACGACATAGTGTTCAAAACATGTACTGCATAATACAGTATTTAGTTTACTGTCGCTTAGAAATTACCCAAAGTACAGTAACCCTGCCATCCTTCATGGGTTCCGGATTTGCAGTCACACAATTTTGCAGATGTTTAATTTCGTCTAGTTAATAATTATATTTTGGTCTAACGCACAACTATTTTCGGTGTAATTCCACTTTGAATATACAGTATTTTGGAAATATGAGAAAAGTGAAGATCAGTGAATATTTTCCAGGGGCACTAAAAGTGTTCACAGTGCTCCACTTTTTATTTTTATATTGTTAACAAATTAGCAAACTTTTTGAAAAAGCTTTTTTCAATGTTTATCACTTTTCTTGTTTTTTTATTGGAAATAAAATAGTAAAAATGTTGACATTTAATTTTTCTAATTGGTTTTATGTCGTGTTATGTGTACAATTTTTAGAAACAAAAATCTGTACCGGTAAAATATATATATTTTATATATATTTTT